ATGATGCTTGCAGATCTGTGTTATTAACCCATAATGGGGTGCCCCAGCCTGGAGTCCTCAGTCCTGTTCCTGTACCCCAGCCTTGCCAGTGCATCTCAGTTTTGACTTGCAGTTCCCTCCCTGCATTACTCTAGACTAGTGATTCTTAGCTGGAGCTCTGTGACATTCAGGGGTGCTGGGAGATCCTTTTAAGGGTGCTGTAGGGTGTCATGCAATACTAGCACTATTGAGTATGCAAATACCTACACGATTCACAGAATAAACCCAGAGATTTCAAATAAAAATTCACAATGTCAAAACCATTCTGACCTGATGCAGTCTTTCTGAGTTCTTGGCAACAGAAGAATTGCTCCAGTACTTTTATTTTCTCATTTTTTAAATGGGCTGTTGCTAAACTCAGAAAAGTTGTGGAGGGGTGCCTTGAGACTAAAAAGATTAAGAACCACTGCCCTGGGCATCCCCTTTCCTCCTCTTTCAACATTCCCTTGCCTTTCTTTTCCCACACATATGTTATTTTATTTTCAACTTCCCATCCTACAGCTCTGTAGAAATAATGGGCAGTGCAGTGTCACTGCTGTTATAATCCTTAGGCCTCTCATATACAAACACTGCTAATCATGCCAAACTTTGTGAAGTTTAAACATCTATTATTGACCAAAGTGAGAACCCAGCAAACAGTATGCTTGAAACCAAATGCTGATCTACCCAGCTGTCTTGACAAAGGAAATGCTGTGCCATAATCTCATTATGTCACTGAGCATCAGAACAGATGTAAGTAATTTAAATAACTAATTTAATCAAGCAAATTGGCAATAAAAGTTGAAGGTGTACACTCGCTTTGGTATAGGAAGGGCTCCATTCCCTAAGACTGAAATAAGAAACTGTACCCGTGGGAAGGCTCTGTTATATGGTAAAGAGCCTGGCTTCAGATTTGGAACAACATTGTTTTTCTTCTTTCTATTGAAAGAGCATCCAGAGGCCAATAAGGAGAGGTACTGTACAGACATCCACAGATGTGGTCCCTGACCTGAAGGCCTAACACCCTCATTTGAGTATACATCATACTCAACTCCCTATTCATTGACTAGTGTAGGAACCAGATTCTTGGATCAGATAAAAAATTAAAAATAACTGAATCCATAGGCATCTAAATTAAACAAGACAATGGCAATCTGATCATCCTGTAATTCACTAGGAATATTTCACATGTCTACAGTACATTTCCCTACTACCCCCAGGAGATCTGAAAACTCTTCAGAAGTAGCAGAGTCCCACAATACCCCCGTGAGGTGAGCAGGTATCCTTAAGTCCCATTTTGACCAAGATAGGTGGGAAGATAGCATAAGGAACAGGACCTAGGTCACCACAAAGCCATCCTCCTCCCAGTTTTTTGTTGACCCCATTGCTTCACTTTGCCCTTCTGAGCCAAATCTGAAAGCCCTTACTCAGTTTTTATTCAGGCCTTATTTAGGTTATCTCCCTTTGAAGTCATTGGGAGTTTTGCCTAAGTAAAGAACTGAATAAAAATCTCAGGATTTGGCCTCTTGGAATGATCAGGTCCTCAGCTGCTGTGAATTAGTGCAACCACATCAAACAAAAATCTCACTCGGTCAGAAGGAACTGGCCAATTTGGTTTTGTAACTTAACATTTCAATAAAGGGATTTAGATAAGCAGCCCAAACACCAGTGATCTCCTGCAGCTCTAAAGTGTGCAGCTGATAAAGGAAGAAGGAAGCCAATCAGAAAATGCTCAGCAGCAATTTTTCCCCTCCAAGAGGAAGTCAGTGAATTTCCACTTGTATCCTTTCACCCTTGGAGTCCTGTGGACCTAGAGAGATTAAATCAACCTGTTTTTTCAGTAGTTCTTTCTCTGGCCCTTTTCATGGGGCTGGTTGATTTATAACAACAGGGATGTGAGAGAGGTTCCCTGCCTTACTAAGAATATCACTAGGACCGCCTGAACCATTGATTACAGTTCAAGGCAGTACCTGGTCTTCTGTTGACCCAGGTACATTGTTTTACTGAGACAACTCCATGAATCATCTCTCTCAAAGACTTCAGGAACATATTCATAGTGCAATAGGCTTAGCTTCATAAATGGATGGCTGGACTTGGGAGGGTGGGAATGATACCCAGCCCGAAGGGCCCTGTCATGCTTACGGATCTCCATGATACAAAACATCAGATGCTTGTTTCTGTTGCCGAGGAAATAGGCACATGGAGGTGCAGGGGTAGTTAGGTCTCGTTGCTTCTCCTGCACATGTGTGCAAATATGGTTTGACACTGAAGCTGGAAATTGAAAGGAATTTCCTGAAAGAGAGGAGGGGAAGAGAGGGAGGGAGAGATGGGGGAGTGAGGTCCTGCTCACCATCACAGTGGAAGTGAACTGACTTAACACAGCAGGAAGAGGAGGAGGTGGAAAGGGTCAGTTGTGCTACACTTGCCAACAGTGAGCATTTTGCCTGGGTGGGAACCTAAACTTGTGCTCTAGCTGTGAAACCAAGAAAATCCTGTATGCACTTTTATCAAAAATGGGCTTTGTTCAAGCTGCACAAAGCTAAGAAGAACAAGAATCTCCACAAGAGCAGTGTGTGTGTGTGTGTGTGTGTGTGTGTGTGTGTGTGTGCGCGCACGCACGCGCGTGCATGCATGCACACATGCATGCAGGTATGGGCAGATCTCAGCTTTTGATGCAAGTAATATAGTGCATCATTCCATAACACAATGAATATTTTTCTCCAATTAAAAAGAAACCAGAAGCTTCACTAACATGCTAGAAGCCTAAGACTGTATTGTTCTGTTTAAGATCCAAGAGCAGAAACAAGTATAACTGAGTTCCGGTGGGGCTAACTGCAAGCTCTAGGCAGGCACCTGGTATCAGGGGCATACACCCCTGGGCCTCCCCCACCCATAATTTTTTCTTGCTCCCAACCCCCCTCACAACCCATTTTACCCCCACAGACCCGTCATCCCAAACCTCACCTACCCCTCATATCTTCCCACCCCTATAATGCCCCCAGCCCTCCTCACCCCATACACCTCTACCCCAAAGGTCCCTTTCCCTCTAGAAGTCCCAGGAGTCCTATGTCCTCTGGGAACCCCTTCCCCTCAAAATCCCTCCCAAACAATTCCCCTGCTCCTCATGGCCCTGAAGCATAGGGCAGGTCAGGGAAGAGCTGTAATAGCATTCTTCACATAGCTGGCCTCCATTGCCTTCCACCCTCAACCTACATCAATAGTTCAAATTGGGAGAGATTCACTTGAGCTGCTGGCAGCACCTCTACCCAGGGAAGCCAACTCCTCTCATCCACCCATGCCTGACTGTTGCCTTGGTTGTGCCTCTGGTTCAGTCTCCCACAGAGTCCATCATCTATTGCAATGAATAACCCAGGAAAGGGTCACTGCAGTAATTTATCTCTTCACCACACCATTGTAACTTCCTCCTGCCTCTGGCTGCTTCACCATTGCTCAAGTTAGCCTGATTTTAGCTTTGCCTCTGCCCTTTCCTGTCTCCAATTTGTTGCGGGTTCAAATACCTTAGGATCAAAGCTACCCAGCACAGGTCCCTCGGTAGCAGCACACTGCTACTGGATATGCTGGGTGGTGAGCGGAGGAACATTATCAGGAGTCTGTAACAGACAAGCCAATTGGAGAAAGGCTAGCTTCATTAGAAGAAGATCAAGGAATTTTACACTGGTGGAGAGAAGAGATTAGCAGAAATCAAGCAGATAATAATGAGCCATTAAGTCAATTGGCTTCCTCAGCTCCACCTGAATAGAAATGTGGTTGTTTTAAACTTCCACTGGAGCAGAAATTAAAGGGGGGTGCAATTACACCCCAAACCACCCCTCCAGATCCACCCCTGCATGCAGGTGTGTATGTGAAACCTCTAACTTGCTGCAGCCATCTCTGGCTGCTGTCTGCACACACACATTTCTTTGAAATCTGAAGGCATTGTTTTCAGAAAATGGAGGCACCTGTTTCATAACAATGTATAGCACCTTTTGGAGTTAAAGGCTAGCACATCACAAAGCCTCTGTCTCCACAGTGAAACATCAGACAGAGAACGTCATTGTCTCGGTAATAATGTCCTAAACCCTACTTACTGCAGCAAATGTACAGTCAGAAATCACTTGATGAAAGTGATGTGCCTAGAGGCTCAAATACTGCTTCTGAGCCGAAATCCTCCAGAAGCATAGGGCTCCATAACTAAAAGCAGATGTTCTTTTCTGGCTTTCCGTGTGTTTTATTTTATAACCAAGAAAAGTCTCTGTGAGGGAGGGGCAGCTCTAAGGCCCCAGCCATTTTTTTTCCTCTTCAGACACACAAAGTTGCATAGCAGTGACTGCACTGTGCATGCTGTGTCTCTACCTGAAAGAAAAGTTTTGCTTTTTTGACTGAGACTTAAAATGAGTCAAGAATTTGTTAGGTGCTTTTACTGAGCATCTTATGATGTTTGGTGTTCTTTCAAAAGCCTTAGATGCAGGATTCATGTAATTCAGTTCTTCTTTCAAAGAAAAAAATAAGTTAGCAAATTAAAACTTGAAAATGTGATTGGAGTGTGTATCCTAAAGGTTCAAGAAACAGAAGGCAAATAAATTGAGCCCAACCTGTATTTTTAAAATATATATACATATCTCATGATTAATAAGCTGATTTTTGAGGCCAGAATCATGATTCTGAACCCTTGGGATTGCCAATACTGAATTATGTTCTTCGCAGTGTTGGCAGCTTGAGTCTACAGAGACAGTGTGAATGGGTCATTCAGAGGTGGGTTTTCTGCTTAATTCGTGAAAGGTCCCTAAAGAGATCAGCACAGTTATTAAAGGCACTTATGAAGAACTCAACAAAACCTCCAGCCTGTTGGGGCAATGGGAGAGGTTTTGAGGAGTTTTACCAAGACAAACAGGAATCTTGGTTAACTCTTGACTGTGAGGAAGAAGAAAAGCAAAGGCAATACACATATGTCTGATAACAAGAAGGTTTAATGAAGGGAATTAGTACATGTTTAGGTTAGGGATCAGGACAGAAACTTTGTGGAAGGTACAGGAGCATCTGGCCTCAGTTAAGGTAAAAATGACAGATGACCTCATGGGCTGATCCTGTGGTTAGAAGAGTGAAGTGCAGTGAAATGGTTGTTTTGATCTAAGAACAAAGGAAAGCTAGACACATCATCACTCATTCATCATTCATCACATTCCTGGAAGGAAAAAAACAAAGGCGGCTCAGCAAGAATGTATCAACATGCAGATTTTTGTCAATTCTGAGAGAAAATGGCTTCTATCTGTCCACCTTTGTGCTGTGAGCCCAGCACACTTCCACAGCATCAAAACACCCAGTGTAGAAATGTGAGGCTGGAGTGAAGGAACTACTTGCTGACTATGTCCACAGTAGCAGTGTGCGAAGCGGGCCCTATTTGATTCAGATTTCACCCGAATCAGGGACAGTGATTTGACTCGTTGATTTGGATCACTGTCCCTGATTCGATTTGGCCGAATCCGAATCTAAAGATTCAGTGCTGATTCAGAGAATCAGCGATTCGGACATAGACACAGCTTTAAATGTTTTTTCTACATACCTCGAGGTACCAGCATGGCTTGTGAACACTGAGATGCTGGGGTGCATAGAGCGTACCACAGGAGCGGGGGGGTGAGGGCTCCACGTGTTGGGTGGTGAACCAGAAGTGGACCGGAAGTACTTCTGGTCCAATTCTGGGTCCATCGGGGAGCGTGTAGGCTTCTCCCCCCGCCTGTGGCTCGGCGATCAGTTGTGGGGGGACCCCAGGTGCCCCCCTGACCCAGGAGGCATCAGTTGCTGAGCCAGGGGGGATGCAGTGGGGTGAGAGGGCAGCCCACTTGCTCTCCAGTGGACCTGGAAGTGGACGGGCAGTGTTTCAGGTCCACTTCTGGGTCCGCTGCTGACCACACTAGGGAGCCCCCCATGCTCCTGTGGGACACTCCATGCGCCCCAGCATCATAACATTCATGAGCTGCCTGCTACCTAGAGGTTTGTAGAAAAAACATTTAAAGCTATGTCTATGTCCGAATCTCCGAATCTTTCCAAATCTCTCTGAGATTTTTCCAAATCTATTCGGAGGGTTCCGATTCGATTTGGAGAGATTAAAGGGTCCTCTGATTCAATTTGGATTCAGAGATTCAGTCACCAAATCAGGCCAAATCTCCGCTGAATTGAATCAGGGACACAGCCCTAGTCCACAGTCCACAATCCACTAGACAACAGCCAGCATGACTGCTGCTACTAGCAGAAGCTGTATGTAAACCTCCCACAGGTCAGGCAAAAATTCTAATGCTAATTCACCAATGCTCCAGGAATGTTGCATGCTGACCCATGCTTTCTTCCAAGAAAATGTTTCACGGAGTCAGTGGCTTCAAGTGGAATCCATAAGCCCTGGGTGGAAGTGAAATAGCCAAGTAGGGACCTGGGAAATGCAAGCTTTGAGGAGCTGATCTCAGGGGCTCTGCTAATGAGAATGGTAACCCAGTATGAAAGATGCCAGGCTAGCAATTCTCAAACACAGTGCCATAGCACCCCAGTGGGTGCCTTGACATCCTTTCAAGGGAGCAAGAGAAGAGTGCCATGTAATGTTAGCATTGTTAGGTGTATAGACATGATTCACATGATAAACCCAGAGATTTCAAGTAGGAATTCATAGTTTTAAAAACATTCTGATCTGTTGTGGTCTTTTTGAGTTCTTTGCAGTAAAATAATTGCTCTATTAATTTGATATAGTCAAGAAGCAAATGAAAACTAAAAGATGGTATTTTCCAGGGGGAAGTCTAACAAGGGGTGCCTTGAATCTGGAAAGGCTGAGAACCACTGTGGCAGGCATTTTCCAATCCTCCTGATTTCAGGCACTTGATCTCTGACCCTGCAGGGAGCAGGGTTCTGTCAACTGCTGAGTGCCATTAGCACCCAATGACTCAGGGAACTGAAGGCACTTGGCACCTGGCAGGTTTAAATGAAAACAACCTTCCCCCACCCCTCTTTGATAAGGTTGGTGGAGAATAAATAATCCTGGTCCACGGGAATGTTTATAAACCTGTATAGCCCATGTGTGTCCTTCTACTCAGTGCAGTGGTCCACTGCTGATCTTTCTTCATCTTGTCCATCCACCCATTCTTCCCCCTCTAGTTCTTTCTTACCTTTTCCTACCACTAGCTGCTTTCAGAGATAGTTTCATTGCAGGGCATCTTGTATTTAGCAATAGCGTTCTCATCTGGAAGAAAAAAAGAAGAGAATGTCCCTTCATTGCTAACGTGCTCATCACCCATACACATCTTGCTCCATTCTCCTAGCTATGGAAGAATGCCATAGAAGCACAGAGTGAATCTCTCTGGAATCTCCTTACTTTCCTTTTGCATATTTCCATATGGAAACATCTGTACGCATTATGCACATGTGTTGGAGTCAGAGCTCACTGACAGAATGAGGTGCCTCTCCATTGGCTTCAATGTGGTTTTGGGTCAAGCTCCTTATGCATAGGTCACCCCTGATGGGAATGGTCCTCCACTGGCTTTAGTAACTGCAGTGTCACTTCCTCCCCCGACCCCCAATGCATTACAAAGAAAGACTTCCTACCAGGTTCATAGTAATCATAGATCAGCACTGGAACTGGTTTGAGGTTGAATACTGAGAGTTCTTGCTCAACTGTGAATGAGATACGGGTTTTCACCTGGGAGACCTGAACATGGAAGAACACATTGTTTATAAAGCAATGACTTCACTGTAGATGGCCCAGCACAGCAACTGCTTAGTGATACATTCTGGACCCAGGTGCCTCTTCCCATGGGCATGATGCAGTCCAACCCTGATATTTACCTCCCTACATCAATTCATTTTTCTAACTAAGAAAGCTATGGTTCTGTTTTTTTTCTTCAACCCTGCTTATATCATTAGGTGTTTCAATTACAATGAATACCACAACAGAGAACCCAGAGGGAGTAAAAACAATATGTAAAAATTATCTAAAACAGCTTTTCTAGATCCCAGGTCATTACATTAACGTCTCTTTCCTGACAGCTTCTCTAACCATGGTGGGAGGGGGGCAGGATGCCACTGAGAAGGTAAAACTCTAGATGGCAAGTATGAGAAAACATTTCCTAACTGTAAGAAAGTTCCTAACTACTCCCTAGGACCAAGCTGCCCAGGGATGTTGCAGAATCTCCTTCATGGGAGGTTTTCAGGAAGAAGTTGGATGGGCATCTGTCTGGGGTGGTTTAGGACCAGTGAGTCCTGCATCTATGCAGGGGCCAGACTAGACCACCCTCCAGGTCTCTCCTAACCCTATGATTCATTGACTCCTTCCAATCATCTTGATGGTCTCATTCCTAGTCCTACCAGACCACAGGACTATGTACTTTAAGGAGGTGATATTTTTCAGGCTAGAATTGCTGCCAGTAGGACAGGATCAAACCACAGCAGTCCCGAATTGAAAGGTTAGTTTGGTCAGAGGGTGAAAACGCTGCATTTGGAAGGGGGAGGAGGAGCAGGAATAGAGACATGTTTAGAATAGAACAGAGTAGTGCACACTCTAATCCTGTATTATCTGTCCATAGACCTGGGAAGGTGCAAGATGGAAGGACCTCCTGATGAAGTAACTTGCCTATTGCAGAAGTTGATTCCTAGTCCCAAGCAGTTACTGGATGGACGGAGGAAACCATTTCTACGTTTTATTTGTGTTTATTTTGTGTTTTATTTGTGATAATAGAAGAGGCAACACTTTCAAGCTGCTTTAGAATTTATGATATTAGAATCCTTTCAACAGCCCACAGGTTAGTGACAGCAAAGGAGACAACAAGAGGTGCATGATAAATGCACCTTATAGCGTGTGCATGCAGACCGCGTGTGGGTATATTAGGTGGAGAATTATAACCCGGTAAACCCCAAACCAAAGAGACAACTTTCCAAAACTTACACTGTCTATGTAGAAGAGGATATGATTTTGCTTGGTTTCTACCTGCATCACAGTATTATCATCAAGAAGCTTTAAAGGGAAAATATTGGCATATTAATAATCAGTAAAAACAAGAAATACCACAGAATATTCTTAAATAGCCATTCTCGCTTTAGGACTCCTCACATTTATAGCATAGCCTGTTTATTCTACTCCAAAGCCAGTGTTGTCTAATGGCTAGTAAGGGCTGTGCCAAATAATCACTCAATATATAGACTGTGTAAGGTGAGTCAGGAAATACTCAGACCAGGTAGGGTACAAACTATACTTCATTAAGTGAGCTGCTGCTTGCAGACTGGGAGGGATGTGAATATCGCTTGCTCCAATGGTTATGCAGGATACTGGAATGGTTTGCAATCCCAGTTCATTAATTTAATTTGGCAGTCCACAGCCTCAGATCTCACTCCTGTCTAGCTGGGAAACCCTGACTCCTGTTTGGAGCTCCCTGGATGGCTTTACACGTTGAGAACTCATCATCTGGCCTAGTAATGCAGATGCAACAGTGTGTCCTGGTCTGAAAAACTGCCTTCACCAGGCCTCTCCTTTTACTCAGACCCTTCAGCAATATCATATAACCCCATGTTCCTGGGGTGGCTTATCCACCCTGGGCTTCCGTTTTTTACCTTCTGCCAGGATGATTTGACAGGCACAAAACCTGAGAGCATCTGCACATCAATAATGGCCATGTTGGAGACATTGCGCTTCCCAGTGTAACTGAAATGAGAGAGATCCCATCATGATGGACCACACATTTAGAGGAAACATGATAACCCTCTCAGTTCCAGACCACAAACAGCATGTGAAGGCCTCTGTGAATTGCATGTAATTGCTGATCACATATTAACGTGGAGGAGGTGGAAGGATAGACTGAGAACAGCTGTTGTAGAAAGTGCCTAGAGTCCACAGGGGAGGAATGTTGTCTGGATGGAGGGAGTAACAGAGGTGTGTGGAACAAATGTTTTATACAGTGAGATGATTAATTATCTGAGGCATTTCACATGGATCACTTAATAGCTGCCTCTTTTTAAGTGCCAGGTGGCTGGATCATTGAAGGGCTTTTACCTGGTTGAGATGATAATGTCAAATTTTAATCCCATGGGGTTTGCACAGGAAGCATTTTCCACCTTCACTGAAAGAGTGAACCCAGAGGCCTTCTGGGGGAGAGGGATGTTGTATCTCAGGGTCGTCTGGAACACAGGAAAAATAATAGACAATTAAACTTCTGGACTTACCTTTGGGGACAGGAGAACTATCCGAGAAAGCCACAGTAGTGCCCAAATCTTTACTGGCAACATCAAAAGCCTTCTCCTTTCCTACATCTGCAATTGCAGCCCGCTGGACAAGGGGAAAAGCAGGCCACCCAGGGGCCAGAAAGGAAATTTGCAGAAAACAGACCACATGAATTCCCACTAATATCCTTACCTGTCCAGGGATTTGGAATGGTTCCTATCCCCATAATATCAGAGCAGTGCTTAGCTCATACTGGACTTGTCCTCACACCAGCCCTTTGAAGTAAAAATGTAGTACCTTGTGACAAGGTGGGTATGTCTGCATCAAATTCTGAGTTCTCTCTGACACTAGGTATTGAATGCTTCTCATCATAGGGCAGTCTAAAGTGCTGCATCCCAGACAACTTCCATGCCTGCTCCCAATGGTCCTGTGAGCAACCTGTCAGGTCTGGGCTACTCGACTGCTGGGCTGCCCCTGCAGAACAGAGGTCCTTCTACATGGAAAGGTCTTGCCAGGAGGAGGGAGGCAGGAGTGATAGAAATGCCACTTCACACTTTGAGGATGTGACACTTAGGTAGAGTTTATTAAAAGGTGTTGTTCTGCTCTCTTCAGAGGATTGGGGGTAAACAAGCCCCATACATTAAAAGGTCTTGGGAAAAGACAAGAAGCAGGAGGGACACTGTCCAGCCTGAAACACCAATGAGCCTTGGCTTCACAGAAGGGGAGGGCACATCTCAGGAGGTCTCTTATGACACACGAAAGGATTACATGGCTAGCCCAAGGGCATATAGGAAGTTTTGGGAAAAGCTAGGAACTCAGTTCAGACCTCCTTTCCTGGGTCCCAGTTCAGGGCATTAACCACATATTATTTCTCTGTTTGCCTGCATGTGAGAGCAATCATTGGTGGGGAGGAGGAGGCTCTGAGCCCATCAGAGCTGTCTGCAGGTGACTGTCACATTATAAGGTTAAGCTTCAAAGTAGCAGCAACTCCTTTAAAACAGGAAGAATGCTGTTTCAACATGCTTCTGCTGTTAACATCTTGTTTGCTGGGTTTTTTTAATGGATGAAATGTCTTTGCAGAAGGTGCTTTGAGCTAGGGGCTCACAGAGTCAGCCATTAGAAATGATAAAATTGGGCTTTGTTGATTGTTAGCTGATTCTCTGATCCATTTGTGGTTGCACTGCTTCATTAGAACTTTGCCCTGTAGAACCTTCTTTTGTCCCTGTTCTGTTCCCTACTTCACTATTTATTTTAGGACTTGTGCAGAAAGGAATAGCAGCATGAGATATGCATCTGCTTCCACTAAGGGATCATGAATAACTCTGAGGTGCTAAGATGCTATGGGAAAGGGGCCAGGTTGGCACCCAGAGAGCCCGAGGAAGATTTTCTAGAGAAAAGGAAGCACAGGGAGTTGAAGTGATTTGCTCCAAGTCACATGAGGAGTCAGTAGCAGAGCCATGAGTTGAACTCAGGTCTGTTTTAATCATAAGACCGGCACTGCTTCTAAGACCGTATGTTGAGCTGTGAACTACCAAGGAACTGGGTTCCTCAAGGGAAGATGCAGATCATAGAGCATGTGAGAGCAGCAGACAAAGCATTTTTGAAGAAGTTGTTCTGGTTACAGAGTAAATTTCCACTGGGATCAGATGGATCCAGACCATCTACAGGAGATGCTGTAAAAAAATTTGAGAAAGCTATCAAAGCAAACAACCCCAGAAAACTACCAAACAACCCCATCCCTCCTCCAGAACATGTAGCAAGTCAATCAATCAAATTCCTCAAACTAAAAAATCCACCGCAGAATTTTTATCCTGAAGACGAAGTGCCAAACACGCCATGAAGTCAACTAGGGCTATTGCTATTGCCTGTATGTAAAAACAAATTAGCCCCAATTCTATCCAATTAATTAGACATGTACATGGACTTAGGTACCTAATTATGATTCTACTAAACCCTACTTAAGTCCCTGAGAAGCAGGTAATGCAAAATGTGGGTAGGTCCTCCTCCACTTCATTGGTTTTTGATTTAATCATTAGGGTAAGATAACACTGTGTTACAGAAGTAGATGTACTAACTGATTTTCTGGAACTTACACAGGGTGAAATACAATTGCATTTAGGCGCCCAAATCTGCTGAGGTGCCTAATAGGTGGGATAACATCTTACCTTTGGATATTACAGAGATGGGTGGCAGCATAAGACCCTTGGACAGACAGACAGGCCATCTTTCTCATCTACCCCAGAAATTGAGCTTTTACCAATCAAGTCATTCCCCTATATAGAGTTTTGTGTCTGACACCAACCCGAGTAAACCTTAACCACATGGGACGGACAGAAAAGCATGAAGGATTACATTCTTCCTTGTTGTAAGTCAATGGAAATGAATGACGTTGCATCACAGAAAACTTTATCCAAGGAGTCTAAGGAAAGAAATAACTGGAGAGAGAGAAATTTGACAGGGAGACACCAAAGATGAATGGCTGTACTGTGGACGGCATTTGAACATGCCAAAGGGCAAAGTAGGCACTCACCTGCACAAAGACACATCCACTGCCATTCACTTCCAAACTATAGTTCCCAGGGACATCAGGCAGGGGAGCCTGTTGCAGCAGTAGCCTATTCCTGTTATTCACAATAAACACCTTCTTGAAGGGCTTGCTGGAGGAGATGCTGACTGTGTTTTGACCAACCTCAGAGTAGCTGGCTGCACCATAATCTGCCAGTGCTTGAAGAGCAATGACCGTGTCCTGAAAAAGCCAAGAAGAACAGAATTAGAGAGACAGTTGTGCTGAGATGTCATAGGGTAGTCTATCATACCTGGTCCAAAATGAGCGCAAGGTTACTTCACCCTAGTCAGAGGAAACCTATGTGAGGGTACAAAGCAAGGGCTCCAATAATGTTTACAGGCACATTTCATTCTGACAGGTATATTCTAACTTCTCGTACAAATAAAAGATGGCCTTGAAGCAGAGTTTCCAGCATGAGTAACAGAGGGCATTTCTAGAACCCCTTAATATGTCGAGTATTTTGGGGCTAAAAAAAGCACCCCACTCCAAAGACATGACAGATGCAGTTTGAATATCCCTTGGTAGAAGCTGAGAACCCAAAACTAATGGAGATTCTTTGTGTTTTCATCCCCTCTGAAGATCTGTACCTTGTGCTATTCATGAGATAAGAAAAAGACACTGGATCTCTAATTACAGCCCCATTGTCCTTCGTATGCATGCTGGTTTTTGTAGAGTAGGTGTCTGCAAATCCACAAAGAACAGAAGGGGTGTATCATACCTGGGTGGAAGAGAAGCCTCCATAAGGGTTCTGCTGTCGCACAACCCACTGCACAATCTGTGAAGCACGGGTTAGATCCCCTAAAGTCCGGTTGGGTTTGTTGAGCAGTGCCAGCAGCACATAGGCAGTCATTTCTACCTCAGCAGAAGGGGCACGGGCAGAGAAGGAGGGGAAGCTTTCTGCCAAGGGCTTCTCCTCCCGTTCCCAGTGTATGGTGCCACCTGAGAACAGAACCACAGATTATGAGAGACCAAGACAGTGGTACAGTGTTAGTGCTCTTATCTGTTGGAAAGAAGCTCAGCTCCTAATTTCTCTCTTCCTAAGTGAGGAATGCTTTGGAGTACATGCACAGCGCCATAAGGAGAGCTACATGCTAAGTTCTCATCCCCCTGCCACCTTCTGCTCTTATTCTGTGGGGTGAATCCACAGTAATTCCACTGAACCAATCTGGCCCCAAACCCTATCTCCTGATTGTGGGCTCTCCCAAAGACTGGAAGCATTTACACAGGCTTGTTCTGCTGCTTTTGGAGTTTAATGTTGTGACTCCCTTTCTGCTCACAGCATCCTGCTTCCCTGAGGCCAGCAGAAACAGAGGAATACCAAGAGGGCTGGACTCAGGGTCTGTACAGGCATATCTGCAAATTTTGCTACCAGTAGGAATAAACCAAAAAAACCTAACAAAAACCTTGATGAGGGAAAAGGGTGACCATGGGCAAACTGAGCTTAGAATGAACTGATATTTGTGTGCTATAAACAGTGAGCCCATCTGCTGGCCACGGACATAGAAAGCTAAAGCACAGAGTGAGAGAGACAGCAGTGGAAGGGCAAAGACTAGAGGAAAAAGAAACATTAGGCCTACATTTCTTTTTCCAGTTTCATAGTCCATTGTATTTATGCCAGGAAAAGGCAGATCAGAATCAAGCTCTGTCCATTTATATTACTATTCAATAAAAGCATTTGGAGCAAGATGAAGAAGATGTCCTGGGAAACCTCACTGTAGATGGGAGGTGGCCATGAGTTTCTAATGCTCTAATGGGCAGATGTGCAGGGGCATGTTCTTGCAGCAGCACAAATAGTAGCGGCACAAATTTGTGCTGCTACTTGTGCCACAGCAAATGCCCCTGCACATGCACTTTGGTGAGCGACAAATTGTCCCTCTTCAGGCAAACTGTCCTTTTCCTGCTCCTCCCAGCTCCCAGCATGCTGGAGCAGCTGAGAGACAAACAGAGGAGTGGAGATATTTTGGCTGGCAGCCAGAGCATCTCGCTGGAGGACTGAGCCTCTGTTTGCTCTGGTGCATGCTACCATAGTGTGCACCATGCAGTGTTTGTTTTTTTTTTGCTACCGGTAGCAAAACTTGCAATGCAGGGCATATTTTAGCATTCTGGGTGTGTGGTTTGTGGTGCCGCAAAGAGGTTTGTGGTGCCAAAAACCACATGTGCCTGCACTTCTGGGCACAGTCACGGTGTGCATAGAAGAGGGTTTTTCTAGCTGGTGTGTGAAAAACAAAACCTCAGAGCCTCCTGGTTTCTCTGTTTCAATTTGCCCACCTATGGGCCTGCTTAGTTCCTCGGGGCAAGATGCTATCACCGTGGCAAGTCCAGTCACCATAACACCTAGATATGAACAAAATAATTACTGATCTTCTTGCTGTCCAGATCAGACTGTCTCTCCATCAGTCCCAACAAATTGGGAAAGGAAAACACAAAAACCAAAAGAAAAACAAAACAAAACAAAACAACCAAAGTAAAAACAGGTGTCACTCACCAACTTCCTTGGCTGATTTGTCTAGCTCCTTCAAGAAGAAATTGCATTTTGCCTGGTTGCCGATTAAGCAGAAGGCATAGGCCAGGAGTGCCTGGACATAAACTTTGCTGATTCCCTTTTCACTTGCAGCTTCCAAGCAAAACAGGCCATTTCGGACCACAGTGTGCTGTAAAGGCACATGTTACATCTGGGTATGAGTGAATGCACAACACATCTTCCTCCAAGCAAATGCTTCTGCCTTTAAGCATTTCCAGATCATGGTGTCCTGTCACTACCACTGCAGAAGACAAGGACCCTTCCATTTCTCTAAGAATTTCGGAAGGGTCAGTATGGAATGCCTTAAGCAGATATTTTCAGACTAGGAAACCATGATAAAACAGAAGTTACCTGGGCTTATTTATCAGATATTTTTGCATGTGAGAAAGAGATATTTCTGTCTCCCTCCCAGCTCCACTTCTTCTGCTTAGATCTACAATAATTATTAACCTCTGTTTGAGGAGGATGGTGAAACTCTAGACTAGGGGACAGATTTTGTTCTCAGTGACTCCTGTGGTACTCCATGTACTTCCATGGTGCTGCATGCATGGTGCTGCATGTCTCCATGCAGAAAGGAGACACAGCAATAACCTGAGATCACAGACTGACTTTGTTGTCACTGATACTCAGTAGAGGACAGAGGAAGATGCAAGTTCTGTAAGCACAGACTGAAACCATGATATGAAAGTACAGTATATGAAGACCAAGAGGTCTGGAATAGAGCCTGAGGCTTGAACTGTGCTGTTCATTATGCCAACCAGAAGTCACATTTGTTTCTAAATTAATGAACCTTTACAATATTAATTGTTTGTAGCACAAATATCTGGCATCGGAGTTGGAACCTGCTCTGCTTATGCTTGTAGTCCAAGACACACACATTTATAGGACCATTTGGGTGTTTCATGGCTCTTCCCTGCAATATCTCCTGGTCCTGAGTGGCATGTCTGAAGGTGCAAACAATAACACATTTACTCTGGAGGAAAAGTGGAGCGGGCATACAATGCACAGCCTTTACACTGGAGGTAATGCTGTTCTCTGGTGTAAAGTTATTTCTGAAGAAGTTGGAAATAATGGCTGCTTGCAAATGTTAAAAAACAAAAACAAAAAAACAAATCCAAAACACATTACTTCGACCCAGCTCTGCGGTGTCTGTATAGATTGGGCACTTCAGTGGGGCTTTTTGGCGCTTTTAGCTAAAGCTGATTCAATCAGTTATTAGATAAAAGTGCAAAAAAAGCCCCACTAAAGCCCGTGATCAATACAGACATCAGGTGAGCTGGGTCCAACTAAGGCTCTGCCTCTTCTGGGCATGTGTGAGGCTTGGCGCACAAATATGCTGAGTTTAAGTAAAGCACTGGGGGGATTTTTTTTTTTAATGGCTGCAAGCAGCCAATGTGCACTGGTGAAAGTTACACCAGTTTGTAATAACTGTGCTGTGGGCCTGCACCCTAAGGCTAAGCTAGAATATAGGGACCAGCACCTGATGGGTTTAAACATGTCCATATCCTGCCCTAGATCCAGCCAGGCTGTGCCTCCTGATATCAGTGGAGTTTCAGCTTGAAAAGTAGGAGTAGTACATAGCTCATTTTCTTTCACAACAGCAACTAATGTGTGTACATTCTAGACAGACCCAATGCCCCTATGTGGTTATCACTTTCCGTACCCAGACAGCTTATAACTAGGGGTCTACCAAACTTGAGGTGGCTGCCAGCCAATTTTTTGAGCAGACCAGGGAGCTAGCACCCATTTTTCTGGGCCAGCATGACACCCCCATGCCTCTAATTGGCCGACGGGTCCCAGTGGCTTGCCCCTTGCCACTGATTGTCAGTCATACAGCCCTGCTCCTTGCCACTGATGGGTGGAGACAGGTGTGACCATATGATGGACAGCCCTCACAGCCAATCAGCATTGAGGGGTGGGAGCAGCATCCAACTTGCCATGTTGGCAGTCCCCTTCCCCATTCCCCCTCTCCAATGGGCTGCACAGCCAGGCTGCAGTGGCCACAAGGACTGTTGGCTCTCCACAGCGAGCCAACATTTTATTTTTGATAATTTTTTTTTCAGGGAGCCCACTAAAAGTGTAGAGCCTGCAACTTTTCATAGAACCTACCTGAAATTGCAGTTTCTGCAAAAATTGCAAAACCACAATTTCGGTAGGTCCCTACTTACAACTGATTCTGGTGCCAATTTCCGGACACCATTTACAACTGAACAGTCTCAAGTGAAGGAATCCTTACCGAGATGGGGAGTCCAGCCTCCACCAAAGCAATGGTGATGTAGGCAGAAAGGGAAAGCTCATCATCTACTCCTCCCTGGAAAAAAAAAAGAGACATAACTATGTAGTCAGTGAATGGGAGAAGGAGGCCCCACCTTTTCTTCTCCTCAGAGGATTTAATTGAATTGCCAGCCCTAATGATATTACTGTATTTTCTCACATACTACATTACCATATACATGCTCTCATATACAACATGCAGCCTATTTTTGGAAAGGCAGAATGAAAACAATTTTTTTTACAGAGTTATGTCTGCATAAAGTAGGGACAGAACTTGATTTTCAGCTTGTGCATTCTCCCTTTCCTGCTTACCTAAAAGCTGGAACCCCAGCTCCATGGGTGGACCTATGATCCTGAAAAGAGCTAAAGAGTCTCCAGGCTGTGATGTAAGAGAATAAGGACCAGAAGCAGATAGCAAACAGCGACATTTCCCTAAGAAAGGCTGGTTTAATTAGAGAAACATCAAGACATTAAAGGGGAGGTGATCATTAACACTTGTGGGGTGAAGAACAAGCCACTAAGTCAACTGACTCCCTCAGCTGCCCGAATAGAAATATCCCTGCTGCTGCACTGTGAAGCTGGGTGCTTCTATTCTGGGCATAAAATCAAGTTCCCCAATTAAGACATACGCCCAATTCTAAGGGTATAATTTTTGGGGTAAGTATGGTACTTGCAAGTAAATATGGTATTACCCAACTGTGCTCTCTTTATGTCCTACAGGTGGCAGTGCTGGGCAGAGCAGAGTTTAAGAGACTCGCTGTCAAATTAATCTGTTAAGTGTCACTGGGCACATCTACACATGCAATTAATGTATAGCAATAAACCGTGGAGTTTATTGATCTGGAGGTTTATTGCTCCTCTGTGTGCCCTATGAATGTGCATCCAGGAGCAGTAAACTCTGTAGCAATAAACTCCACAGTTTATTGCCATTTGAATGTGCACCCAGAAACACAACATATTGAGCTAGGTTGGAGCAGTCCTGGCTGCTAGAAGGAGCCCCGGGGGAGTCAGCCTGCCAGTCTGGGGCTCTTCCCCCTGGCTCAACGTACTGTGAAGGGGCTGGCTGGGGCATGAGGATGCTTTAGAATGGGCCTAGCTGGCAGTCAGCCCCGGCGCTAAAGCATCCTCATGGCCCAGCCAGCCCGTGCAGCATCTACACATGTGCTGATGCGGAGTTTTTTACTTTGCAGCAAGATAGTATTTGTATTTACAAGCACTATCCTGCTGCAGAGTAAATTAGTTTACTCCAGCCTAATAGGGGCATACATGCAGACACAGAGATGTATAATCCACAACTAATTAGTCTACTGTGCAGTAAATGTCTTGTGTAGATGTGCCCACTGGGAGCTGGCTATGCATCTTTTATACCACTGGGCAAGTTATTTTTTCATCATAAATAGCCATCCCAATTCTCTGAGCAGCTGTTCAGGAAGAAGGAAGAGCCAAGCAGCCCCAAACAGGGACTGCTTCCAGCCTGGACAGATGGGGAAAAGGAGTACAGAAGTGTTATCTTGAAAATGGCTTCCTCATCTTCCTGTTTCCCTAGCAACAGGTGCAGAAAGTCCCTGGGAGGAGATGAGGGAAATAAATTATACGTACATGCAATCAGAGATTGGCTATGGGAAAGGGAAGCAAGCCAGCTGGATTGAATTATCTTGTGTGAAAAGCCAGCCAATTGAAGTAGTGGAAATTTAGGGGGGAAATCAGTATTTGGCAGCAGCATAACAGCATTTTTCTAGTAACAGGACTGAAAATTTGAGGAGGAGGAAAATGGACTCACCTTCAAGGCATTGTTGAAGAGTTTCCCAATACTTTGGAAGCAGCCATCTGGCTTTTGTTTGCCTGAGAGCCATACCAGAGTCTGCTCCTGGACATTGCTGTCGATGTAGATGTAGCGGTTGCCTTGAGCGAGGCACTTGTACACGAAGGCAGTGAGCCTGAAGAGGAGTGATACACAGATGTTGAGTCCCCACTAGGAGTGAGGACCAGTGGATGCATCTATACATGTCCATTTACTATGCAGTAACTGAAATTACTGCACAGTATGGGCCCATGTTTACACATGCACACCCATACTGCGCAGTAAATATGGCAACTTATGACAACTTATGCCTACTGGCGTGTAAATTTGATAGCTGCATCATGCAGGTATCAAATTTATGCCCAGTTGGTTACTGCACAGTAATGTACATGTAGACACCTTACTGCCCAGTAACTCTATGTGTGTGTGGACTGACTTGGGACTAACTTTAGTCCCAAGTCAGTGCACACACAGCGTTAATGAGCTTTAACGCCTGCATGTGTAAATGCCAGCCTATTCCCACTTACTGCACAGTAACTTACTGTACAGTAAATTTAAACCGGCATAAATGCATGTGTAGACATGCCCAGTAAGTCTCAACTTGGGCTGCTTCTGCCACAACTACCCTCCAACCAAATTGGTTCTGAGTGACAGATGGTGACTTTACAGATCAAAAGAAGATCTTTTTATGTAGGTCTGTAAAAGCTGCTGTGTAATGTGTGTGTGTACAGATGTGTATATACATGTCTGATAGTATCATTTTCAAGTGAGAAGGCCCATAGAGGCAAAAAAGGACCTGCAACAGCTCATAGGGTTCTTTAACTCCAGCAGGAGAGATTTTTGTTTCAGAAGCTCTTGGACTACACTTTGTATCCCTGTGTCCTCTGCATATATTTGCTTTAAGCAGAAGAGGTGTCTATTGCCCATTGATTTGTTACAAGTCCAGGCTCTACCACATTCCCCAGCTCTTACCATGTGTTTCCTTCCTCATCCCTACTGCCAAAGATGCTGTAGGATCCATCAGGGTGCTTATATGACATCTGCTTCTGGTACCCTGAAAATGCAAGGTAGAAGAAATGTTCACTGATCAAAAGTAACAGGTCTCCCCTATAGATAAATTGAGAATCTCAATCAACAAGTCCAAGCGGGGGAAAGTATGTCTTCTAGGGCAGTGTATCTCAACCTGTGGGGCATGGCCCAAAAGTGGGTTGCGAGAATATATGAAAGTGTCATGAACAAACTTAAAAATGTATTCTCCATTAAAGGAGAAAAACGCAAGAAACTGTGTCTTTTCTCTTGCAGGGTGCCAGAGTTCCAGCTAGCAAGGGGCTGCTTGGGTCCCTCCATGACACACCCCCACCCCCCTGCCCCACACACAGGGGGGTGGAGGTGGGGGGCAGTGGGTCAGCAGTGAGGGGCACTGGGTTGGGAGCGGCCATCGATGTTTACAAATGGGTCTTGGTCCAAAAAAGGTTGAGAGCCACTGTTCTAGGGTAAGTATGGGAGACCAGAGAGAAAGAAAGAACATGAACTTGCTGGCTAAGTCTGGAGAAAAGGAGCAATAGCAGTGGGATGGAATCAGGAGAGGAAAGCAAAAATTAAAGGACTGAATCTCTGAAGGGGTGAAGAAATTGAGGGAACCCTTGTTGGGCTAGAAATGGCAGAAAGAAGAGAGGGACAGCTTTGAGAAGCTGCTGATCTGCCAACACAGGCAGTGACTGTGGTGTTACAAGCCAGCTACATCACCCAGGGCTGTGTGTAGATGAAAGGAGAGGCGTGCTTGCATGACACTTTAAAGCGGGCTAAATGCTTTTGTACCGCTTTAATGGTATCAGCGTTTGCATGCCTCGGCAGTGTATTGCACATTAATTCCAGCCGCTGTAGGAAATTCGACAGCAGCCCAGGAAAGCAGCTCTGCCTAAGAAAAGTGGCGAGCCTGATCTCAACACCCTGTCCCCCTGAGCCTGCCTGCCTGCCTGAGCTGTGTGAGGCCCTGTGCTACCCTTCACGGATGCAGTGCCCCTCAGGACTGCCCAAACCGGGTGCCTGTGGGTGGGTGCTGCCGGGGGCGGGGAGGGGCGCAGCTGCTGAAGAAGGAAGCACCAGTGCTTCCCGCAGCCCAGGGACTGCTCTGTCCACTGGCAGCTCGCCCTCCCCTCCCCACCGGAGAAGCAGGTAAGTCAGCAGGGTGTGTGTATGTACAACACGGGGGTTAATCAGGCCTAAATTGAAGCTATGTTTTTTAAAACCCACTGCTTTAATTTAGAGCCCCTGTTTTGTCTACACATACCCCAGTAAGCCAACCCAAAGTCAAAATGCAAAGCAGTTGTGTACTGTCAGGGAGGCAGAAGGGGGATGTTATAGAGAGGCCTCTCACCACTAACTAAGTATCCTATTGCCTTGGATTTGGTCTCCTCACTCAGCTGCTTTGTCTTATTCAGGTAGTCCAGGATGTAGATGTTGGGAGCAAACAGGACCATGTTCTGTTCCCCACAACCAAAGGGCATCTGGAGGAGCTGGTGCAGGTTCTGCATGGCTGTGCCTAGGATGTCACCTGTGGGGAGAAAGATGCAGGGGTGAGTGCAGCCCAGAGTCTGGGAAACCAGTATCTACATGCAAAAAAGGACCTGCAACAGCTCATAGGGTTCTTTAACTCCAGCAGGAGAGATTTTTGTTTCAGAAGCTCTTGGACTACACTTTGTATCCCTGTGTCCTCTGCATATATTTGCTTTAAGCAGAAGAGGTGTCTATTGCCCATTGATTTGTTACAAGTCCAAGCTCTACCACATTCCCCAGCTCTTACCATGTGTTTCCTTCCTCATCCCTACTGCCAAAGATGCTGTAGGATCCATCAGGGTGCTTATATGACATCTGCTTCTGGTACCCTGAAAATGCAAGGTAGAAGAAATGTTCACTGATCAAAAGTAACAGGTCTCCCCTATAGATAAATTGAGAATCTCAATCAACAAGTCCAAGCGGGGGAAAGTATGTCTTCTAGGGCAGTGTATCTCAACCTGTGGGGCATGGCCCAAAAGTGGGTTGCGAGAATATATGAAAGTGTCATGAACAAACTTAAAAATGTATTCTCCATTAAAGGAGAAAAACGCAAGAAACTGTGTCTTTTCTCTTGCAGGGTGCCAGAGTTCCAGCTAGCAAGGGGCTGCTTGGGTCCCTCCATGACACACCCCCACCCCCCTGCCCCACACACAGGGGGGGGGAGGTGGGGGGCAGTGGGTCAGCAGTGAGGGGCACTGGGTTGGGAGCGGCCATCGATGTTTACAAATGGGTCTTGGTCCAAAAAAGGTTGAGAGCCACTGTTCTAGGGTAAGTATGGGAGACCAGAGAGAAAGAAAGAACATGAACTTGCTGGCTAAGTCTGGAGAAAAGGAGCAATAGCAGTGGGATGGAATCAGGAGAGGAAAGCAAAAATTAAAGGACTGAATCTCTGAAGGGGTGAAGAAATTGAGGGAACCCTTGTTGGGCTAGAAATGGCAGAAAGAAGAGAGGGACAGCTTTGAGAAGCTGCTGATCTGCCAACACAGGCAGTGACTGTGGTGTTACAAGCCAGCTACATCACCCAGGGCTGTGTGTAGATGAAAGGAGAGGCGTGCTTGCATGACACTTTAAAGCGGGCTAAATGCTTTTGTACCGCTTTAATGGTATCAGCGTTTGCATGCCTCGGCAGTGTATTGCACATTAATTCCAGCCGCTGTAGGAAATTCGACAGCAGCCCAGGAAAGCAGCTCTGCCTAAGAAAAGTGGCGAGCCTGATCTCAACACCCTGTCCCCCTGAGCCTGCCTGCCTGCCTGAGCTGTGTGAGGCCCTGTGCTACCCTTCACGGATGCAGTGCCCCTCAGGACTGCCCAAACCGGGTGCCTGTGGGTGGGTGCTGCCGGGGGCGGGGAGGGGCGCAGCTGCTGAAGAAGGAAGCACCAGTGCTTCCCGCAGCCCAGGGACTGCTCTGTCCACTGGCAGCTCGCCCTCCCCTCCCCACCGGAGAAGCAGGTAAGTCAGCAGGGTGTGTGTATGTACAACACGGGGGTTAATCAGGCCTAAATTGAAGCTATGTTTTTTAAAACCCACTGCTTTAATTTAGAGCCCCTGTTTTGTCTACACATACCCCAGTAAGCCAACCCAAAGTCAAAATGCAAAGCAGTTGTGTACTGTCAGGGAGGCAGAAGGGGGATGTTATAGAGAGGCCTCTCACCACTAACTAAGTATCCTATTGCCTTGGATTTGGTCTCCTCACTCAGCTGCTTTGTCTTATTCAGGTAGTCCAGGATGTAGATGTTGGGAGCAAACAGGACCATGTTCTGTTCCCCACAACCAAAGGGCATCTGGAGGAGCTGGTGCAGGTTCTGCATGGCTGTGCCTAGGATGTCACCTGTGGGGAGAAAGATGCAGGGGTGAGTGCAGCCCAGAGTCTGGGAAACCAGTATCTACATACTGCAGAGCTGGAAAATCAGTGCAACCAGCAGGGACCTGCCAGACCTAAACTGGGCTTGTAGAACATGCCATCCAGGGAATATTAGTGAAAGGTTGGAGAGGTTCCTCTGCTACCTTGTATAGTCTCAGCTGTCCTTCCATTTTCAATGCAGGAAGAAGGATTTTCCCTCTTCTACATAAGAGGATAGAAAATTCCCCAAACAAGGGGCTTGTGAATGTCTTGCACCTGGGCCCACCTCTCTTGCACCTTGTGAAATTATATGCATTAGCAACACACTAAATGTTCCAAACTCCTGAGCTGCAGCAGGCAGCTACTTTTTATTTGAGGATAAGTTTCAGGAAAAGGATATCAAGAAAAGTTTCTCATTTTCCCCTTAGATGTTCTATTTACCAGTACAGCATGAACAAGAGAGTTCTGGGCAAGTGACACATGTAAGTTCTCACAGCCTGAAGGGCTAGAAGTGGGCATGTTAGGGCAGAAGTTTCAAAATTGCCATCTCCAAGGCACTGGCTGGTTAGTTGAAAGTGCCAACTTTATCTCTTAGTTTCCAATGGAAAAACTGCACTAAGTGAGATCCAAAATGCATCAAACACTTTCCCAGCATTTCTTTTTTATTGCAGCAATTTCTGTGGATGCCACAGGCAACTTCTGATAGGAATGGGCTGTTCAACTGGTGGCCCATGCCACAACTGCAGCTCAGGCAGCAAGAAGCAGGGGGGCACATAAAGCTGATGGGGAATGAGGCGGCCATGTGCTTTGGGCAGGGGGCTGTATGCAGCCAGTGCAGCCTGTGCAGATGAAGCAGGGACCCCAGGGAAGTCACCATCAAAGTGTGCAGACCATGTGGTGTGTAGCCCAGGCACCACACACAGGCACCATATGTAGCCCTCAGCCTTGCCAAAGTTAGGCAGCCACGATACAGGAGAAAAAAAGAGGTCTGTGAGATCAGGAATAAGGGTAATGAGGAGAGGTGTCTGCAGGACTGTCTTCGTAGTAATGGAGTCAGTATGTGACCCTCCCATACTTTGAAAAACTTTTGAAATTCCTACTTTGCTGCTCTGGACTATACTGAGTCATCTGATTATTTTCCTGAGATACCCTGCCTTTGCCTCTTAGGATCAGTATCCTCTTGCCTCTTAGAATCAATAGGCCCTTGCCTCTTAGGATCAGACAATGGGCCTTAGAATGGCAGTGCTATTGTTGGTTAAAATAACAAAAGACATTTGGAGAAGTATTTACTGATTTCTGCTTGTATTAATTCTAAACTCTTCCTCCTCTAGGGCCTGGCTAATTGAACTGAAGGGGGTCAGATATACAAGTGAAAGGGTACAAAACAGCTCTTCCTAAATCTTTTTGCAAGTAGAGCTTTCAGAAATTATAATGTGTCCATAGATGCAGTGCAGGTGGGAGGGGTACTAGTATGTACTTGGGATGACCGGCATTAAAGACATAGAGACTTGAGAGGAATGCAGCCGGCCCAAACCTTCCTACCACCCCCAGTTCCCTGGTATACAGGATGATGGATATTCAAGTTTTCCTGCCCTGAGTTTGGGAATTGTGCTTAAATGTCAGGTGCAAAGCCGTGAGTCAACCCACATGAGTGCCAATAAAGCCTTTATACCACAGGAAAGGAGCCAAGGGATACCATTTGGGAACTGAAATCCTTCTCTCTGGCAAAGAAGATGCCTCTTAGCATTGCTGAGTTGGGCAATCATTTTCTAAGGGACAAGAATCTGCCTTATTGCTCACAGGTTTGCCTATCCCAAGATGCAAGAATCACCCCATGAAACCCAGCCTGAAACCCAATACATTTACCTATAACAGAAAAAAAGGCTCTGTCTGATCCTTCTACCACATTTTTAGGCAGCTTCAGAGACATACTTCGAGAGGCTGCTCCATCTGCGAGGAAAATAGGTGATTATTTATAGACCTTTATATATCGGCTTGGATTATGGCACTTAATGGTAAAAATTTATATGAATGAACAATCTAAGACTCTTAGTATATATGAGAACCATTGGTGTTGGCACCAGGAGCAAGCCGGGAGTGAAGACGACAGATGCCTGATGAAGGCTGCCTGTGCCTGAAAGCTTGCAAATAAAGATTTTTTTTTTCAAATATCTAGTTGGTCTAATAAAGATATCAGATAAGATATCACCTCTGCCATGAGTTTTGCCTCTAAACCAGGGGCAAGCAATTATGTTGGGTGGAGAGCTGCTTACTGAGTTTGGCAAGCCAGTGGAGGCCACATGACAGGCAGACAGGAGCAGAGAAATATTAATTTTCTAAATTTTTTAGGGGCCCCGTGGGCCAGATAGAAAGGCCTGGCAGGCCGCATCCAGCCCACGGGGCTGCATTTTGACCACCCCTGCTCTAGACTAATATGGCTACAACCTGGATACCTGGCTCATAGAGATGCACTCATGCTTGCCTTAATCCAACTATCCTGGGTACCAAGAGCAGTTAAGCTACAGCAGCGTGGGCTTCAGTTGATAAATGAGTGTCTAGTGTCCTGGTAGCCTTGAGCAGCCCACACCTCTTACTGATGTGTTGATATACCTGAATGACTTGATCAAGGTCCCACAGCAAGTCTGTAGTAGGATTGGGAACTGAATCTGTGTTGACAAACTAGCATCCTAGCCACCCTCCTACCTAGGTGCCAGCTATACAGTATCCCATGCTCTTTGGCAGAAAGGGAGAGGGTCAGAGATTTACTAAAAGTATTAACTGGTCCTGAGGGACAGAATGCAGTTTTCTACCCTTCCTTTTCCCTCCCAAGTCAGTAGGTACAGAATTTGAGGAGATGGCCTTACCTTTTGTACAGATGAGGGAGCTTTGGGTCACTTCCTTTTCAATGCCTTCAGGCTGAGTGATGTAGGGAAGATGAGACAGCATGAGCAAGGGACACTTACAGGAGAAAACTGTGTAGTGGCAGTAAGGAACAGTCATCCCTTATCACCTACATGCTCTGCCATTCACTAAGAATATGCAATTTGTGGCCCATGGCACTTTTTTCATGTCTTCTTTCTCCTTGGCATGAGGAAAGCTTAATGTTTTTTTATTGCCAGCCACCTCAGTCCTCATCTATCCTTTCTTCGCCCTGCAGGCTACTGTCTCTGGTTGTGCATCTACACTGTGCTAGTCCCAAATGTCCATGCTGTCCCTAAGCATCCCCACCCACTGACTCCTTGTCACATGCTCTGCATAAGAGATACTCTGGGGACAACCTCACAGAGGCCTCACAAGTGGCTGCTTGGAAGTACGCTGATGACCAAGGGCCTTCAGTGACTGGTTACAGATGGCCTCACCATCACGTTTCCAGACTGGAAGCCTGTGAATGGAAACTGGGGGGAGGAAGGGGAAGCACAGGGCATGGGTAGGGATGTCCCTGCTGAGCTTTGCTACCACTGTGGTGCAGATGTGCCTTAAGTGTCTTACTTCTTCAGTGATGTAGAAGTAAGACACAGTAAGAAGTAAGAATATTATTGCCAGCCAGGGGAGAGTGGCAATATATGCAGAATAAGTGCTTTGCCCTTAAGGTGCTACCACCCTAGGCACACCTTGGCTACTGAGCAGTGTACAGAGAGCCTGATGCCATTTATGGAAAGGAATAGCTGAACAGAGAGTCACCAGGCTCTGGCTGGTGTGGGAGAAGTTTAACAGTGGGCTTGTCTGTACCATCTCAGGGGCCATTCTCAGGGGGTCCCCAGTACCCCCTCTCAAGCCCCCAGTCTCTAACACATGTGAGAGCAGGCACTGGGGACAAGCCTGGGGCAGACCCAGAAGTGAGCTTCCAGCCCTGAAGTGGGTCAGCGACCTCAGGTGGGAAGGATATGCTCTGTTCCTTCCTTTTTGTGGCCCTCACCTAGGGTGGTACAGACCAGCCCCTCAATTCTCCCAATAGATCTTCTCCTAGTGGCCTGTAATTATCCTGATCCCAAAGTCAGCAAGGGCCAAGTGCAGGCTGCAAACAAAGTGCATGGGGAAGAAGTCTTGTCTGACTGAGCATCTGTGTCAGCAACACCTGTCAGACTTTGGATGGCCCAGCCCTGGAGCTAGAAGGAAGGATTTGGGAAAGCAGGGAAGGGTTCACCAGGTCACCTTTCCAGGATCTGTCTTCTCCCAGACCAGCACTTGTGGGACAGAAGAGCCTAACCCCCACCCAGTCAGCTGAAACTGGACCCTAGCTGTATGGACTTTAGGGAACCTGAAATGCCCTGACTTCCTTTCAACACTCACTTTCTGCCTTCTCTCCTTCTGCATGAAAAGGCAAAGTGTCCAGACAGAGTAAGAGCTTTCTACTGTACCTCAACCAAAAGGGTCCTGATCAGGGTGTCTTTCCACCTTATCACCAGGTCTCCAGCAGATTTACCCTGACAGCTTCCGCCATCCAGAATCTCGGCTGTAATGTTGAACGTCACCTCACCTAAAATGCCACCCCACCCAAAACAGAAAAGTTTACCTTGGATTCCTAGAACAATAGCCAATACTGGCAGGTATCTTTTGCCAAGGACCTTACTGGGAATGAGCTACAGGGAAAAAATTGGCAAGTGGGGAAGGAAAATGGACACTAAGCCACTTCATGGGAGCAGCCATGAGGTGGTAGAGATCTGAGATGCTTTGCAAATGCATTGTCACAGAAAAGGGCCTCCAGCACAACACATCAGATGACCTCATAAGCTGGGAAAATAGGGTCAGAGTATTTTGAGGTCCAAGTTCTAAGCAGGGGTAGTGGAATGAGCTAAAGTTGGGCCTTCAACAGTGCATAAACAGGCTAGTATCCATCCCAGGATGGACAGCCAGAAGGATGTGCAGAAGCTTACCAATGTTTTTGGAAATAATTTTCCAGACATAGGTTTTCCGTTCATTGGAACACACACATCCATCAGCATCACTTGGTGAGAGGAGCTGAACCAAATAATCTTCAGAATTTGCCAAAAAGACCTTGACCTGGAAACAAAGGAGAAGGACTATTGTGGTGCAGGCTGCCTTGGACAGACAGGGATGGGTGCGCTGGCAGAAGGGTTGAGCTTCCAACTGCCTGCCTCCGGTGGATATCCAGTGTCCACACTTGCAGGACAGTGTTGAGGCAGAGAATTATATGGCATTGGATAGGATCTTAACAGATCCCCCGCCTGGCTGAGTTGTTAGCATTAGTAGGGGTGCTCAAGATCTCTTACCAGCAGATAACCCAATATCCTGACCCACACTCATATTCAAGTGCAGTACCCCAGGACTTGCTGTCTTTGAGGCAGCTTGCATAGAAAACCCCTATTTGTGCTCTTTTGTGCTGCTTTATGAGGTATATGGAAGGCTACCGGGAGGGTGGCTTTTCTTTTTTCACTGTTTTTCTTCACTTCAGAGGTTTGCCTTAAATGACCTCCCCCAAAAAAGGATAAATCAGTTCTTGATTTTTTTTAAAAATCAAGCAGAAAGACATTTCTAAAGCAAAAGCAAACAAAGAAAAATTGTTTTGAGACTTTCTTGGGAACACACAGAAACAAAGAGGGTACTCTCTTTTGGCCAGGTTACCTTTAAGGTGTGTACAAGCTACTGAGGAGTACAGGCCTACTCAGGTCTAACTAGGAAGTACTGAGGCAGACAGACTCCTTTGGGGGGAAGTAACTAGAAAGAACATGCGGCTTTTGCATCTCTTACACCTCCTTGGCTACTGATTTTGGAAGCTGTATAGAATGTGCTGCAAGCCCTGGGGTTCTGGTTCTCCCTCAGCTCTGAATTTTAGACAGGAGCCACAAGTTGGCCCCTGCTCCTGTGCTTGGGAGTTTCACAGGACTCAGTTCTGCCTTGACTTTTCCTTGTGTAGCTTTCACTGAAGCTGGTAGTGCTGTGAAGCAGCGAAAAGCATAAAAGGTGCTCTCAACAAACTCACCACGGCATTCTCGGAAGGTGCACTTCTGTGGAGCACTGCTGGTATCCCTAGCTCAGGACAAAATTCAACTCAATCTCTCTCTGCTCTGTAGTGACCCAGGAGGACAGAAGCAATCACAGTAATTTACCAAAAAACAGCTGGGTCTTTATATACTTACCATGCTGCTGCATATTGTAGCCAAGGAAGGATGCTACAGCTTTGCCAAGGAGGAAGGGATGTGAATTCAGAGGGAGGAAGAAAGGACATACCTGATTGCAAGTGCCCATGTAGTTGAAAACATTGGCTCTAAGTAAGAAGTCTTCTCCCCGAATGATGGAATAGGGCAGTGTCATTTCAACAAAGAACATCTGGAAGGCTGTCAGAGAGGCAGGTACAGAGATGCCAAAGCCTGCCTCCTCTGCCACACAGAACATGCTGGCTTTCCATTCGGTGATGGTGTCAGGGACAGTGAATGTGAGGTTGGCCTTTCCAGTAGAACTGAAGAGAATGGGCAGAGAGCACATTGGAAAGAAAGTAAGGTTTATATGCTACAGCACTCAGTACAGACAGCAGATTATGAAAAAGCCAGCTCAGGCTGCAGGCTGAGACTTTCTCATGTCTGAGTGCCCCAAGCTCATTACCCAGGTCCTTCAAGGTGAGCCCTTGGTAAATCCCTCTGCCTGCCATTTAGCCCAAACAGCATAGGAGTTTAGGGGAAGAGACTAGAACGGGACCCAGAACTCAATTCCCAGTCCTGAATCTTCACTTCAGACACTCCTGCCACATAAGGGTGGGTGCAACCCATCAGGGGATTGTGGGGAACATGCACTGGGAACCTTAAATATTGTCACCAGGCAGGAGTGGTCAAAAGAACAAGTTCCTGGCACTTTGCAGGGCAGCAGTGGGCATGGGTTCAACAGCACTTTTGAAAGGAGGTGAGGAGAAAAGGAAAGGAAGACTCACCCCACTGGGACTAGATCCCAAATCCAGGTGTCAGGGAAGAACTTCCGGACTGTCTCAATTACTTTTGCTTCTCGAGCATTCACCCCTATTCAGGGAGAAGAGGGAGCTTGGTCAATCCCAGTGTATTCAGAAAAGGCATCATGGCAGGGTGGGCTCTGCCCATGTGTTCTGGATCAAACCGACACCCCAAAGTTTACTTCCAAAAATGTGAGATGAGAACTGTGGAAAGCAACTCTCTGCCTCTGCTTCCCTGCCCAGGAACTTTGCACTTACTCAGGATGGACAGGTTTCTGTGACCAATTCAGTTCAGTGAGACAAGGACAATGGCAGCCAGTGGCAGTAATGCTTTACAACATGGATACCTCTCCTACCAGGTACAGGATGGAGACCCACCAGTTTACATCATACTAGCCACTGAATGCAACTTCAGGTCAAGAGTAAGAAGTGCTTGCAGTCTTTTCAGACCCTGACCTTACCTGACAGTCCAGCCATGTGCACAGTGGAGAAGCCTGCGACACCAGGCCGGGAAAGGAATTCAGGTCTGTACCGCTCACTCTCACACACCACTGGCTGCCGAAGCCGAGAGTTGGTAAAAACCTTCATGCCCATTTCCTTCAAAGCCAAAACAAATACATCAGCAACCTCTGTTTCTTAGCACAGGCTTAAACAAGCTCTGCCCTTTTTTCCAGTAGACATTCAGATACTGCTAAACACTCCAAGTGGCCTATGCCCATCTGAAGGACAGCCTATGCCCCCCTGGCATAGGACCAACTTGTCTCTGCTCTGCATTTTGTAGGGTCTTTGGTGTTGTCTGTGAAGATTCCCTGCATGTTAGAAATGCAGCATGTGCCACAAAATTAGAACACATCCACTACAAACAGACAATGCTCAAGAAAAGGACGTTTTAGGGCTGAAAGTTTACTGTAGAGCAGTCAGGTATCCAGGTTGTGGCCGTATTGGTCTAGAGGCAAAAGGAATCAGAACTGGTGGTAGAGGTGATATCTTTTATTAGACCAACTAGAGTTTTGCAAAAAAAAAAAATTGCAATTAAAGATTATTTTTTTTTGCAAAACTCTAGTTGGTCTAATAAAAGATATCATCTCTACCACCAGTTCTGAGCCCTGTAGGGCAGTGGCACCTGCTGGCCAGTTGGGAAACTAATGTAAATCAGCTCAGAAAGGAGCCACTTTTCAGCAAATCCAAGTCCAGCTATCTTGCCTCTGTCCTTCAGATCAATGAAGGATTACTCCCTCCAGGGCATTTTCTGCTGCAACAGGGTATTCACTGTTTCCAGAGGGAGACTGTTACTGTGATTGGATGAGAGGCCAATTACATAACCGTAGGACACAAGGAGTCCTCCAGAAGGCAGAACTGTCTCTCCCCCACCACTTCCCTGACTATGGGCTTCATAGTCATAATAACAGAGTCATTTTCTCGTGCTTGAAGGATTAAGCATAGAGGGGCTAGTCAGATAAGGGTGTGCCTATATACCAAAAACCAGATTCTTCCTGCATTTCATCATTTCTGCGGAAGAAAACCAGTGAAGACATTGGAAACTGTTTCTTTACTCCCTTTCTTTCTGGTATTAACTTGGTGGCAGTCCAGGGTGGGCCAATTTCAGCACAATTACCTTGAAAAACATATAGACATCAGGGCCTAAGTTAGAGGTTACTGGTGTATAGTACAAGCCATTATGAAAGATGTTGTCTGTTGGAATACATGGGTCTTTGCGGTCATCTTCCAGGTTGAGATTCTTGAAGTAGTAGCCAAACAAATCTTGCAAGGGAAGCAGGCTGTACACCTGGGAGGATAAAACAAACCCAGAACCCTGTGTGTGTGGGAAGGAAGGGGTAAGCACCAGTTCACACACCAGGTAATGGCAGTTATACAGAATAATGGTCTGCCATTTTCAGACCTGAGGCTTACAAAGTTCCTTCAGAGATAATACATACAGGTCTCTTACCCTTCCCCCTTTTTTTGTAATTTTCCTTATTGGACTCTCTTCAGCTTGCCTAGGTTTTTCTGTCTATGAGGTACTCACAAAGTAGCAGAGGCCTCCAGGCTCTAGTAGCTCTTAGATTCATAGATTTATAGATGTTTGGTCTGAAGGGACCTCAACAGATCATCGAGTCCAACCCCCTGTCCTGGACAGGAAAGACTGCTGGGGTCAGATGCCCTCAGCCAGGTGCCTATCCAGCCTTCTCTTAAAGACCCCCAAGGTAAGGAAGAGCACCACCTCCCTTGGGAGCCCATTCCACATTCTGGCCACCCTTACCACCCTTATTGACTTGTTGGGGTAGTCACACATCTGAATTGTGATCATCTGCCGTATAGTCACTCAAGTGATTTTGTGTTAGGTCTTAGAGTGTGTTTACACATGTACCAGATGGCCCCAAATCTGCTCCAGCCATGTGCTCCTGCTAGCATTCTCCAAACCCAGAAATGCTGGTGAAGATGCTCTGGTGTGGCTAAGAGCAGCCACTGGGGCTGGGGCTAGATTTGGAGGGTGACAAGGGGAGAAGTCAGGTAAGGCAAGCATGGGAATGTCCCAGCCAGAACACACTGCTGCCATGGCTAGTCCAACTCAGCACACACCGTAAGACCTAGGCAATTTCTAAGAGTGGGAAGAACATCATTAGATGATACTGTGAAAAGATGGAGGCTGATTGTGGGGAATATCCAACTTCTGGCTAGAGCAAGTCTTGACTGGCTCTTACTTTTCACCCTTTTGCTGGAAATCTCTCTCCTACCTTGGTGTGACCTGCCTCCCCTTACTGATGGTTAGGCAACAAGGGTGACATGTTTGTGGAAGGCAGACAGGAGTCCAAAACAGTTGCCACACTGAAACCCCATTTGTGCTGGGATAAAAGACTTTTTCCCTGCACAAAAGGGAGAGTGTACAGATATGTAAGGGCTTTCTTGTGGAAGAAAAATGGCTTTTCCACAAGAGGTTAGATCAGTTACCTATCATGAAGATCTTCCTCCAGATCTAAGATGAATACCTGTATGCTGCTCGTGGGAGAGACATCCAGTATCTCACAGTCCTGTGCTCTCCCTTCATCTGCTTGGGAACACTGGCTCTCTGGCAGCCTGCCCAGGAGCAAGCTGTCAGGGAGCTCTGCATCCCGCCCCACCAATCAGCATTCTTCTGAGCCAGGAACCATCCCAGAGTGCTCTTCTCTTGTCCAGCCCCTGCCTAGTCCTCTGCATGTCTTCTGTTCCAATGGGAAGTGTGTGTGTGTGTGTGTGTGTGTGTGTGTGTGTGTGTGTGTGTGTGTGGTGGAGGGGAGGGGGGTGAAAACCGTGTGCTTTGACTGCAAGGTTGCCTGGGCCTAGGCAGATCCCCAGGGATTGGGAATCAAGCTGGGAAAGGCTGTCCCCAATCCTGGTTTCTGGCCTCTGGTTTTAAATACTGACTTTGGCATGCAGCTAAGTGCTAGAAGCATGAATTTCAAAGCACTGGGGGCTGAGAACTGGGGCTAGGAAGGCTTTCTCTGCCTCCAGTCATGCTTTACATGTCCTGTGTCCTGCCCAGTTTGGCACCACAAATGGAAGTTTAACAGCTGGGAACCAGAGTTATGAAAGCTGGGAGCCAAGAGCTCGGAGCTGGAGTTATGGAAGCTGTCCCCAGCCCCACGTTCCTGCACTTTGGGCTTTACATCACCCCATATGCAGCCCATCTGGGCTGTATATGAGATGATTTGAAAGCCAGGGAATGCCTATTGACAGCCTACCCCCTTCTCTGGTCGGGGAGAGGGCTGGCTGTCAAGTAGTGGGCTCCTCTAAGGGCAGGGGTAGCACAGGGAGCAGCTCACCTGCATAGCTCTCCAGACAGGGGACTGAAACTTATGACCACTCCAGCTCCCAGTCAAACTTTCTATTGGTAAGAATTTTTGAGAAATTTTTACTGATAGACATGAATGTCTGCGTCTGTCTGTGGCAAATCTGACATGTTTCCCAGCATGGCCACTGGATGAGCACAAGCAGATAGGGTGCATCAGGTTCTCCCTACTGACAGGTGGTAAGACCTTTGCCTCTCAGAAAGTGTCTTGGAATGGAAGAATCATCACCAGACACTGAGAGAGAGCAAATGGAGAGGGAGACAGTGGTGATGCACAGCATAGGGGAAATCAAGGAGAGATGGGAACCTATTGAAAGAAGGCAACTCTGGGACAGCATAAGGCAAGGGACTCAGGGGCTTACAGTCTCAGCAGACAACTGTTGCTCAGGCTTCAGGAGCAGGACACTCTGATCCACAGCCCGCAGTGCACAGTGGGAGTTGGCAGCAGCTTTAATAAGAAGGCTGACGTTGGAGGATGGGACCGCCTCTTCTTGAGAGAACTTCAGCTGGACCTGGGGTTGAGCAGAAAGGGTCAATTCCACACCTCTGGAGTGTCTTTTTTGTGCAAATGTGAGTTTTGGTGCAAGAGGAGTAGGCCTTTGACTTCTTACCATCATCTGGCAGGACAAAGGCCTCACCACAGAGCTGGTTCTCCCTGGATTCCCTTCTCACACCTGAACACAAAGGCCATACCTCCTACCTCTTCCTTCATTACCGACAGGCAACACTGGACTTTTCACCCGCCCCAGAAATATAACCCTTTTAATACAGGTGTCGTCAGGATGCAGAGGATTGGATGGGACAGGCCTTCCAGCCCTATATCACCATGTTCCAAGGTCCCCACTGGCCCTCAGAGCAGCTGGAAGGATTAAATAAATGTATCCATGACTTTTACAGGGCATCAGAAGAGAAAGGTTGGGGCAGAGGTCGGGGTTGGGAGCAGTAGTGTGGGTTAGTCATATTCCTTTTTAGATTCATTTTTGATAATAAGCACCTGCCATACAACACAGAGTTTACTCATCTGTGAGTTATGATGAACACCATGTTTCCGCTGCCATCAAACCACAAGCTCTATATTTTCTATTATCAGCTACACTCAGCCTTAAGGCCTCTGAGTAATGTCATTTGATAGGAACTTTCCTGTATTCAATAATGCCACAATTAAAGCTTTTTTTTTTTACTTTTTACTGGAAGACCTGTCAGACTAATTTTGTTGTCACTTATACGTGGATAAATAAAGTGCCCTTCCGATCATAATTAATGTAAGATAGCACCAAGTTTGGCACTAAGGCAAGCATACTAATATTTGTACAGCACCAAGCCCAATGGCGTTCTGGTACAGGACTGGGTCTTGTAGGTATCAGTCCCATCATGACCCGTGCTACAATACTGCATTGTATTTCTTTTCCTTCAAAACAAAAACATTTAAAAAATCTGCACAGCTGGGAAAGTTTAACATAGTTTGTGTTCTGATCTATTATTAGAACTATCACAAGCCCCTTCTAAACTTGAATGCTCACTAAAATCCCACCTGGCTTAAAGTTTAGGCAAGAGGTGAAGTTTTCTAAGGCCTCTAAGTTATTTAGGAACCTTGGAAGACTTTGGAGTAACTCTTGCTCTGTGTATTATATGAAACCCTCTCATAGCACTGATATTTGGTAAGCACTATGGACCAGATTCTATTCCACTTGCTGGGCATCATAGGTTCCAAAGCATGATCCTATTCTACCTTGCTCTCACATCCCTGAAAAAAGTTAATGCAAAACCTGGGTGGGTCTTCCTCTTGCTCACAGCTTTTGTGATTTAGGAATAGGGAGAAATCTGCATGTCTCCAAAGGGAGAGCCTACCCCTATAATGGGGATACATAAGTGCCCGGAGAAGGTAACAGAATCTCTCTTGTGCTTTACGTGGGTAACTCAGATTTGGTCACAAGCTGTACTTTGGTCATCCATGAAGTGAAAAATAATTCTTCCCTTAGTGTTCAGGCTAAGTATAAGGTATGTTATAAAAGTAGGTGCATTAACAGGTTTTTCAGGGACTCAGCCAAGGTGTAATAGGATCTGCCCTTGGTCTGTGTCAATGAGTAATTTTATTATTCAATGGCCAAACTGAAAAATACGAAAAAGAAGAAAGACCTGATTTGGATTAACACAAATTTGTTTGTGGGGCAAAAAAAAAAAAAAAAAAGGCAACAGCTAGTCTGGGTCTTCTAAAGCACTTTGGGTAACCCCCAGACAAAACATTTAACTTTGTTTTGGGGTCTATTTTGCCTTTTCTTTAAAAAAATCATTTCAAAATAAACAAATGAAATTTTTAATTTTAAAAAACTATGGAAAGAAACATGTAAGGGTTTTTTTCCTATTTTTTTTCTGTTATGGCCAAAACTATTAATACATTTGCAAAGTGTGGCATTTTTCAGCGAATGATTTGTCCTAAACAGTTTCACCTAGTTCTGTGAACTTCCAGAATTGGCCTATTGGACTTGGCCAACAAGGTGAGAAATGTTCCTGACACTAAAGAACAAAACATCACAGATAAACTAGGCATAGGAAAAGACTTCAGGACATGGATATGCAGCTCGGGAAAGCAAGAAGTCCTGGAAGAAACTGTGTTAATGGTGCCGAGAGGAAAAGCATTGATTATGGGGCTGGAATGGGAAGCATGGGGACAGTACAAAAAAAGCATAAAGATGAGAAGGAAAAATGGGAATTAGTGGAGCAGTAATAGGAGAAAACTGGAATAACAAGGAATAGGAGACAGAAATGTGTGGATATGGGTAGGGACAGCATAGATATCTCATAGCAAAAAAGTTATGTGGCTCTGGAAATGCCTCAAGTTCCCTTACCTTGTTTTTGAAACACTTCTCAATCTGGATTCTGGCACTGTCAGCCACTATCTCCCTGGCAGGATGCAATGTGTAAACCAGGAGCTGGAGGACTGGGGCTAGCTTCTCATTGATGGTAAGGGAAATGGAGAAAGTGCCTTTTAGAGCTGCTGGAGAAAAAGGTTAAAGCAATAACAGAGAGGCCCAGGAAGTGATCCACTAATGTCTGTACTAGTTGGGCGCATATGAGAGTTGGCCAGTGGATATTTCTAGAGTTGTTCCTTATGCCTCCACCCATGTGCCCCTGCTGCCTTCTTTAAGGATCTCCACACCCTGAGATGACACAGGCTATGTCCTTCCTCTGTGGAGAGGCTGCCCGGTTGAGCAGTGCCCACACTTAATTCAAGATTTCTCCAAGTGGTGATGCCATTGTACCTGCTTGTAAGTGAGAGGGAAGAGACACCCCGGGTATAGCTTCATTCACTGACCCCAAAGTGTTGCTCAGCTACATAATTCTCAATATTTCTGCCTTAAAAAGAAGAAAACAAGCCAACAGTGCTCACCGTCACCGACGTTGACTTCCTTTTTGCCGTGAAGGATAATTTTGCCTCTTGCCATACCCTAGTTATAGAAAGAAATCACGAGATAGGAACCATTAGCAGGGAAGGAAGAATGGCAACCGGAAAGACACCATGAGTACTGCTTTAAATGTATGACTCAAAATGGAGTCAGGTCTAGCATACTGAAGTGTTGGGCATCCTTCCCCTGTACAGACCTAATACTGTTAAACCATCTCAGCCCCCTCCCTGCTTTGGCAGTCCTGTTCACCCAGATGTACACTGCTGCAAATCAATAATGAGTCTTGCCAACAAGGCATCCTGATGGAATGAGCCCTTTAGGAATTGCTGTTTGGCATTCTGCAATACAAATCCCCACTAGAGCTCTCTCAGAGAAGCCTGGCAGCCTCTCACAGAAGCTTACCAAGTAGAAGAAGTTCACACTAGTGGCACCCCTGTACTGCTTTTTGTTCAGGATGTAATGCACTGTGATCAACTTCTTTAGGCCACAGTTCAGCTCCTTCCACACTGGCTCAATCCTCACAAAGCTGTTAGTCCAGGAATAGAACCGCTGGATGCTGAAAAAGGCCTCAGTATAGAAAGGCACCAGCCAGCCTTCCATGTGGCAGACATCACTGGTTTTATATACAGCCTGACAAAAACAGGAAGAAAGAACAAACTGCTATGTTACTAGTGAGGCAGTAGAAATGACACATGTTCATTTACAAATCATTTATAAAGCACTGCATCCATAGCCTGCTAAGAGGCTGTGGTGAGCAACAGCAGACTGTGGCTACTAACAAGAAAGGGAGTTGGAAAAAAACACAGAAATGCTAAAATATCAGAATTAGAGAACAATTGTGAAAATCATTTTTTTTTTGTCAAACAGGGAAACAAGTTAAAAACGTGTTCCTAAGAATTCTCTTAACCCTTCCTACCTGCCATGCTCTTTCTTTTCAGTCACCTAATATTTGGGCTATTGGACAGTGCCCAGTATCTGCTTTGCATTTCAAGTAGTTGTCACTACTTTATATGGCTCCCCCCCCCCCCCCCCCCCCTCCATTTCTGGAGCATTAATTAAGTCAGAGAAAGTGAGATCTCATTACCAGAACACAATCCCCATCCCAGTTTTTGTGACTTTGGGTCTTATACCATGGGTTTAGACCAGCACAGTGGCCCTCAAAGAAATAAAAATCTTCCTTTCAGTGCTCACTTTCAGGCTGAACTCAGGATTGAACATTTCAGAAGTGTCAATTTTAAACTGAACAGTGCCATTGTCATCTGTGGTATAATTGCAAATGTTCTTTTCACTGAGGAACAGCTGGACAACTTCATTCTTGATGGGAGAGTCGTCTTTGTCCACCACCTTGATCTAAAGGGAAAG